CATGGTGTCCGACATTTTATGCTGGCATATGTTCAGTTATCAGTCAGGTGATGATTATCACGAGATTAGTATCAGATCATGATTATTCAGTACCGGTATCAGTTTCAGTTTCAGTTCAGTATCAGTTCATTTATATATGCCAGGATTATGATATTCTTATTATTTTCACTGTTTACTTTAGTATGAGTTTCTGCGGAGCACAGTGGATTAGTGCTTACGCCCCCACATTATTCATGTTTTTCAGGTCACAGGGTCGGAGCCGAGGAGTGAGCTGGCGACCGGTTCAGGACATTTCTAGATATGTGTAAATAATGTTTTGGCTACACTGTGATTTCCGCTACTATTGCAGTTTACTAAACCAGCTTTTGATCCGACTCCAGTCGGTTACTATGTTTTATAATCGTTTGTTATTAAACTAAAATAACGGTTTTCAGATAAAATCAGATTTTTACGGTAACACTCCGAATCAGTATTTTGCAAAATAAATATTTTATTTAGAAAAATTTTGCGAAAAGCGCGCTCTGATTTTCATGAAATAGCGGGGTGTTACACGTGTGTTTGAAATAGATCTACTACTTTGCTTACATGCATCTACGGCTATTCGGTAAACATTACCAAACAACATTATCGCTTTTTTCTTTAAAAGAAAATGCTATATTCTAATATGATGTGCATTTATGATATATAATAGGGAAGTCGGGGTAGATATAATGGATTTCGTTAATGACCATTACAAAACCTACTCAGTTGCAAGGATGTACCAAAGCACCGTTAGCCCCGTCCCGCATCCAGATGAATGGCACTTGCCCCCGGAAATTATGCGTAAAAAGGTAATTCCGCCAAATGATCCCAAACAAGCAGGTCGGCCACAGACTCAACGTTATTCCACTGGAGAAGGATCATCACGTCGAGTGCGGCGTCAGCAGATGTGCTCACGGTGCGGGGTCATCGGGCATAACATGGCAAAGTGCCCTCTGTACGATGGTGATAATGACTTTTTTTCAAATGAAGAAGGTCAAAACGCACCAACTCCTCATCCAAGACGCCCGAGGAGATGTCGTACATGTAAAGAAACAGGTCACAAATCGTCATCTTGTCCATCACGTCCAATCCATGACAATTAAGATGAAGATGGAGTTTTTAATTGTAAACCAATTTAACGAAAACAATACTTTTAACGGGAAAAATACTGTGTTGGTGTCCTAAGTTGTGACCTACACACGATTGACTAACAAAAATTAGTGAAACTGGGTTGATTGCGCGATTCGCATAACATGTCCCATAATAATCGCACAATTGGGTTGATTGTGCGATTCACATATCATATCCCATAATAATCGCACAACTGGGATGATTCGCCTAGTCTTCAACCGCATAATTAACGAATCGTATATCCAAATCGAAAGCCGCATAATTTACGACTATCCGCCAGTTTTTTCACATATCCATATGGACCACATTGATTGATTGTCTGCACCGCATATCCAAATAAAAATTGCTTCGCATATTGTTCGCATAAGTTACGCACCGCATTGATTGATTGTCTGCTTTTACACCTAAAAAACAATGACGATTTGCATGCTTCCTCATTTAGTTGTCAAGTTGATGTATATCTCTACCTAGCCTTTAAGTGCTTTCTGTATTTATTAACCTTTCATTCTCTTTATTGAAGAAGCGACCTTTCACTTCTCAAAACTCTATCTTTCCATCGCAGCAAAAAAAAAAAGAAATGGAAAGGATTTCATCCTATGAAAAAGATCGCGATCCGCTTCCGTGGCAAATGTTGGGCTGACTGCAGCAATAATAAATATTTTTTCTTCTGTCAAGTATGTGTTTAATCATGATTCATATGTCAAAACAAAATAATATGGTGCATGGACAATGAAACCATTAATATCCGTCAATAGAGTTTTGCCAGCAAAATCAGTGACAATACTTGAAGGGAAATTATTATTCGCAGAACTGTGAACAAAGTGCGATAATTCGCATTTTGTTCGGATAGCGTAATGAAAAAAAAGTAATTTATAGTTTTCAATCGCATATTCAGGCCAGATCAATCAAACGCATCATTTAGGATTATGCGGCATATGTTCACATAATTTAAGATTCGCATATCCAAATCTATAAGGCTAGATAGTAGATAACTATCAATTATGCGTATTGTTATCGCATATTTACGAATCGCATATCCATATAAAACCTCGCATAAATGTGTCAATATGCGAACACATTTCGAAAAGCTTTACGCACAGCTTTCTTCACTTAATAGTTTTTTTCAATTCATTATTAATTTAGTCAAAGATATTTTCCAAAAATTACCAACTATTCGGAAAATATGGGACGTTTGTATGTCGCAATTTTTTACGTCGGGGAATATAAAATTTACAAAAACAAATATAAAATATATGTTATTCGTTATAGTTTGAGTTATGCGTTTTTTATGCGGAAATGTTTCGAGTAATAATCGCAGGTTCTTTCGCCTAATAGTAGTCTTCTTCAATTTATTATTAAATCACTGACAGAACTTAAAAAAAAAAGCGAGTTGAATAATATGCGATGTATATGCGGAAATGTTTCGAGTAATTAAATAGCACCAATTCTGCGAATAATATGCGACGTATATGTCATAATTTTGCATCGACTCAACTACTTTACATCAACTAATTTTTTATAGGCGAATAATATGCGACGCATGTCCGTCGCAATTTTACATGTACTCAACTACTTTACATCGACTGTGAAGTAGTTTACAAGTAACCTTACAACGTCACACAAATTACTAGATAGAGGAGGCTACAACAGCGAGTTGAAGAACAGCTTCAAATGTACCAAAAAAAAAAAGAACAGCTTCAAAGATCAGAACAAATTGGATGACTGTGTCGAAGTTGGAGGAACATGGGGGACTAAACAAGTTGGTCCGCGAGATGAACGTGTTCGCCAAGCCATGTTTGACTTTCTATAAACATTTGAAAGTCTCAATCTAGTATACCCTGGAAGAACAAGCACCTTCGTCTTTGAAGGGGTGCTCTCTTTCGCCGTCGTAGGCGCCTCAATCTAGTAAATCCCGGAAGACCAAGCAATTCGTAGGAGATTCCATGCCTTCCCAAATACATGGTCACCTACAGCTTTTTCCGCCTCCAATTTTTTTTAGCTTACAATGTGATACGACCATGTGCCTGGGAAGGCGTGGGATCTTCAGGGAGAGTGCTTGGACTTCCGAGGTATACTAGATTGAGGAGGCTACGACAGTGAAAGGGGAGCGCACCCTCAAAAACAAAAGGAGGATCAGGACCCATCTCTCAATTCTTCAACCTTTGATTTTTCTCAACATGTTCGTACAATGAAGAGACTTCATTGACCGGCATGTTGAGGAAAGCGAGAGTTGAAGAATGTTGAGAAAATGGTTCTGATCCTAATTCAATTGTCTCATCTTACCTACCTTTTATAGAAGACTCAAAAAGATATCCTCCTTGATACGCGCGACGTTATTAATTTGCCAAAGACTGAGAAGACGTTTCGGAGCGCCTCTTCAAATTCGCAGAACTGCGAATAAAATGCGATGAATCGCACTTCATTCGCATAAGTTTATGACAATAATTGATTTCGCATATCTGGTTAATCAAGAAGATATCTATCCTCCTTGATACGCGCGCCGTTATTAATTTGCCAAATACTTGGGGGACGTTTCGGAGCGACTCTTCAAATTTGCAGAACTGCGAACAAAATGCGATGAATCGCACTGCATTCGTATAATGTATTGACAATAAATGATTTCGCATATCTGGTTAAAGAAGATATACTCAAGAAGATTTCTATCCTCCTTGATATGCGCGTCGTTATTATGCCGAAAACTGAGTGGACGTTTCGGAGAAGAGGCGACTCTTCAAATTCGCAGAACTGCGAACAAATGCGATGAATCGCACTTCATTCGCATAACGTATTGACAATCAATTGCATTTGATTTCGCATATCTGGTTAAAAAAAATATACGTAAAATATAATTAATTGTTTTTAATGCGTCGAAGACTGAGGGGACGTCGTTTCGGAGAAGAGGCGACCTTTTCCGTAAAACAACTGTCATTTTGCGAGACGAAAAGACGCAACCTGTCAACATTTATTTCGCAGCACGGCGAACAATGTGCGATTAAAATCGCATATCTTTCGCATACCTGAAATTA